CGAAGCACTGCGAAGCACTGCGAAGCACTGCGAAGCACTGCGAAGCAATGCGAAGCAATGCGAAGCAATGCGAAGCAATGCGAAGCAACATTGCACCGCCTAGTGGTCTGTATAAGTGATGTTGATGCTGAAATGCATCAAACCACCGCTTGGTGCAACTCCAAGTTTCAAGTGTATCATGGTGAGACACCCAAAGCTTGAAGGGCCCAGGAAGCCAGGTGAATTGCAGCTCTATCTGATTTTCTTCAACCCAGCCATTCATGCCGAAGGAGATGGTCTTCCAGAAGACAACATCGATTTGGCAGTGGGACCCCTTGTAACTCGGGAGACCTGGGAAGGTTTGACATTTGAACATAGCGAAGTCTCTGAACCTCCGTGCGTCGGTGATGGGCTTCGGAGTAACTGAGTAAACATGCATGGAAGACATGCTGCAGAGAGAATAGAAAGAGGGCATGAAGCTTGTGGAGAACAGAGAACCATCCAAGCAGAATTTGTGCTCACACAAAAACTGGCTGCTTTGAAACACAAGCCATAGTGCTTTGTTCAGGTCTCATGAAAAGCATTCGGCCTTTGAAAAGCTCTTGACGAAAGCAGAGACAGAGCAACTTGGATTCATTTGGCATTAGTAGCGATGCCCTTTGTTCCTAGTAGCGTCCTTGTTCCTTCAGGTTGGGAGAGGTCTCAAGTCTCATGGGTCGAGGCTGCGACGGCTCTTGCCGTGGTTCCAAGCTCCAGCGGAGGAATTCCAATCGCCTGCTGCGAGATTGGCTGTAGGTGCACTGACCTGCTGTTAGACATCTCTTGATCAGTTTGCATGTTTCATATTTCAAGTCATGCCCAAACTTTGCACTCCAAAAAAATTGTTTCACGACAGGTTTTTCACTCCTCATGCTCTTTTCATAAGTGTCAAGTCAACCCCCCGTGCTTGCAAAGCTTTGCATCCGCTCAGAGTGCCACAAACCAATTCGAGAACTGTGAGCCTGTCAAAGAGTTGCAAAGAGTGGGCTGAGTAGGCCCAGACCATATATGAAGACATCCTGAGACACTTTGATGCCTGCAGGTTTGTTGATTGCTGGTGATGTGGCAGAGCCCTCAAGAAGTTGTCAAGGTATTTCGGCTGGTGGAAGCTTTTAAGTGATTCAGTTCATTTAAGCTTCCAGGTAGCCTTAGTGAACAAGGTCCGCCCATCTTTCAGTAACATATCACACCCTCACAGATTGGATTCTACCTTTCCTTTCTTGCGGAGTGTTTTGAGCTCAAATGCTGTTTTACACCGTGGGGACCACACAAGTCAGGTGCTTGTCAGGTTCCACCAAGCACTCGAGGCTTTGCCTCGGCTGGAGCGCTTGCAGAGACAGCTGAGACGCTTTACCTCGAAGGCATCGAAACCTGGCGCCATGTTTTTGCACCATTTGTTTTGCACGGATTTTCACCATTCTTTTTTGGCTCTGAGAGGTGTTTCCCACTTTTTTCAAAAGGAACTTGTGAATCGAAGGGTGGTGGAAGCCTGCTCTCCGAATAGCAGGCGTTGTGTTTCTGGCCTATGTGAGACAAGCATCAACAACTTCTAATGAGAATAGAATGTTTCCAAAATACAGTAAGCGTTTATGTTGGTGGCATTGTTCTTGTTTTTTCTCGAGACTCTTGGCATGTCACACTTGCATCATGTTTCATTGGAAGCTTCTCAGGCACAACCCCTGGGTGACTACCCGCCAGCCACCCGGATTTACACATTCTTGTAAACTTGTATCAGATGAGCTTGGAGTTTGTGGCTCGTCCTTGTCTCCCTAGCATTGCCCGATATTGACCTCCTTGTATTTTGTGCAATTAGAGAGGCCAAAGCACTCTGCTTCTTGCACTGTCGTCTCAGGTCGTGTGGGTCAGAGCTTCCCGAACAAGGGGCACTTGTAGCGGAGGCCAGGAGGGCACAAGCACACAGACGCCGACGGGACAAAAGAACGCCCGGTTGGGTCGTAATTTCAGCAGAAGAATCTCACCACGGACGATTCACTCACCAACCAACCGCAAGAGGATCACAAACGAAAGACAAAGCTTAAGTGAGCTTTCTAGGATAGCATCGTGCCTTAAAACTTGAAAACTTCTGCGCTTCGACTGAATCACGATTCCCCGAAGCACCAATCACATGGTAACTCTTCCATTTTATCTTTATTTGTCCATGGACTCCTGAAAATGACACGTCTATATAGACACATTTCACGCGAACAAACTCCCAAAAGTTCCCCAAAAATTGTGTCTAGTTGCCCAACGTTCCCCCTTCCAGCAGCAGGTCGCACGCTCGTGCAGGGTCGCATGCTGGTGCATCATGAAAGAGATCAGTGGTGTGTCAACATCTCATCTTGTACAGTGCATCATCTCATGTTAACATTGGCAGTTGAACCAGTGCATCGCATCATCTTGTATGGTGAGGCAACATCTCCAAAGTTCATGTAACACCAAACTGCATGCTGTGCTCCTGCAACCGGACACCTTCCTGTATTGATTTCAACAGTGTGTTAATTGCTGATCGCAATGCAAACCATCATCTCCCCAATCCCACCAATGGAGCCCAGAAACAAACAGTTGTGCCCCCAAGGTGGCGTGCTTTACGAAGCCCTAGGAATTTCCATTAAACACCAACATGAACACGGCCCTTCACTGGGGAGAGGCTGTGCTTGTTCTTGTGTTGTTTTACTTACAAACGGAGCCCAAGAGCCAACACGTTTTAAGCTTATGATTTGGTTCCAACCTAAGAGCAATGGCCTCCGACCTAATTCATGAGAGATGGCTTCTGAGCTCATGGGGTTGGTACAACCTGCAAAAAGCTGCCTCACTCCGCATGCCTCACTCCGCAGCACCAGGCAAGATACGTGCAAGGACTCTTCAATCAGTTGAGTCGGACAAAGCCTCAGTGTCCCAAAGCTAAGTGGAAGTCATTGTGTAGCAGAAGGAAGCAGAAGGGTGCAGAGGAAGTGCTTTCACGCATGTCTTGACTTTGTTTCCAGATGCTAAGAGCAAATTTATCCGGAGAGGGGCGCAAGGTCTAGAAACTCTTCGATTGTGGACTGGTTGGAACAAAGATGAACACTTGCGCAGCAGAGAAAAAGACGCATTCAGGTTGCTTGTTGTTTGCATTGCTTTCACGAGTCATATAGCGTACAAATGTGGTGGAGACGATGAAGCGCAAGCAACTGTCAGGCACCATGAAATCTGAGCGTAATGCTTTTCTTTCGGTAGGACCACCGGAGCAAGCGCACATGATGTCAATAATGCAATACCACTCGGGCAGCATAGCTGACATCATTCTTTTTTTCGTCGGTTAAACAAAACAAAACAACACAAAAAGCACAACATTCTAGAGCAAAAATAGTGCCTCCCCCAAAGCTAAAGCTTAATGAACTATCTAGCAATTCTAGCGGTTTCTGCGAGCTGAGACAACGCATCAGCACCTTTGGTGCGGGCGGGTTTTCATTCGAACTAACCAAGATTAAAATTGCTTTCGACCCATCCAACTCTCGCTTCAAGCTTCTCACAAGGCCAGTCTTGACGGGTGGCCAACCTCGAGCCCAACCCAAGGAGGCAGGTTTTCAAGGGGTTCAAATCGAGGATTTGGCAAGTTGCAGACTTGGGTCACCCTGCCGGTCAGGCTTGGGTCACATTTCTTTGGGGAGGCAGCGGGACAGCCAGCGCCTTACTGCAGGGTTGAATAGGGCAGTGTGCGCTTGTAGAGTGTCAGTTTTTGTAAAGCAAGACTCGGCTGAGACACAGAATGCCAAAAGTGCTTGATCAACATTTACATATCGATTCTGAAGCTTCTGTGTGAGAAGCACACAATCCTTGTGCGGGTTTCAGCTTGGATACATTCCTTCACCCTGGTTTGATTGCTTGGTGACTTTCATTGATGGCTTTGGCTTTTGCATCTTCTGCTCTCTTTTTTCACTATCAGTGGGTCCCCAAGCTAAGCACTTTGTGTCATTCTCAATATGCTCCTGTACACACTTCAGGCTGAACGCCGTGCATGGATCTATGGAGAGGCAACGAAAAATAGATTCTCACCTGAACGCATCACTGCACGAGTGGAATCCACGCTTGTACAAATCAATGCCTTAAGGGCTCGATCTCAGCGAATGTACTTTGGCTTTCAGATGTGATGTTTAGGGGTTCCGGTTCCTCTAGGCATTCTCGTAGGCCTGAGTAGGCTTTCTGATGAAACCTCAGGATTTCAGAGGACTTTGATGAAAGTCCTGAGAGAGTGTCTGAAAGACTTGCAATTTTACACATTGTGGCCAAGTTGCGAAGGCCATCCGAACTCTGGCACATTCCGTTCGTCGGGTGGAGGTGCTGTAAAGTTGATTTGGAAGTTCTTTGAAGATGTGCCAAGTGGGTTCGTGGATTGCTGAAGCTTTGTCTATGAAACGAACAATTTGCCCTCAATGGCTTCCAACCTAAGAACGATGGCCTCCAACCTAACAACGAGGGCCTCCAACCTAAGAGCGATGGTCTCCAACCTAAGAGCGATGGCCTCCAACCTAAGAACGATG